CGAGCATCGTCTGCTGCCAGCTGGTCTTTTTATACGGAGCAAGACGTCATTACAAAATTAGGTCTAGAATTTGTTTAACTTGAAATCATGATCTGGAACTTGGCACAGCCCTTCTCAAGACCTTAAACTGTAATGATGTGTAAAAAAAGTTTGTTTTTCAAAAATTTNGTAAACTAAAAGACTCACATGATTTACCTTCCGATACCAAAATTTGATTAATATGTAGAAGAGCACAATTATTATTATCATTATCGAAGTCTTCCGTAAAATATTTTTTATATTCATTCCATATTTTATCTCCTTGAATGTTTTCTGGAATCAAAAACAAAGCAAAAAATTGTCTCAACTGGTATGGAAACATAATTGTTATGGCTTCTTCAAAAATATTGTCGATTTCAGAATCATGTTATATTAAACCCATTGCAATTGCAGTATCCCTGAAATTTTTATATGTTATTCCATTATGTTTTTTAACGTCTTCAAACGATGTAGCTCCATGTAATTTATTTAAAATATATTTTTCAGTGTAACTTTCCTTTTTTTCCAAATTTTAAGTTTATTAACAAAAATGTAATGTTCTGGAATGTTCACATATTTTAGTGATTTTGCAAAATCATCTACTTTATTTAATTCAAACCAAGTTGTAAGGAATGTTTGATGATTTTTTATTACATTTTTGATATTATTCTCTTCAAATATGAGTTTTTGTTTATTTTCAAGATGAACAGCTAGATTTATAACTGTATGACTTTTACCACAAATTGGATATTCTTGAAGTCTCCAAGCTGCTTCCATTGGACTTACATATCTAGCATCCACGTAACTACTAATTTTATCTTCTATTTCTTCATTTAGTTCGTTTGATTTTTTTTATTTTAATGTATGTTTAATATCATTTATTAACGTGAATAGAATATTGGATTTTATTGAAAAGTTCACGTGTTTTTTTATTTCAGATAATAACTTGAATATTTCAAGTTAACTTAATGTATCAGGAATCACAAATTCCCACTAAAAATTTGACGTGGTGACGTCAAATTTATCGTATTCCAACATATATCATTTTCCAACAATTACTTTACTGTGTAACTAAAAAAGTTAAGAATAAATAAGAATAAATACACACAAATTGTAAAAATGTATTTCTTATAAAATATTCGGCAGTTGGGGGGTTGGCGCGCAGTGCGCGCAGGGGGGCGTAAGCCCCACCAATATATATATGTATATATATATTCGTGCGTACACTATACTACCCTATAGTATACATACTACTACTTTAAAATTGGCGATATTTTGAGCAGGAAGACACATAGACAAAAAATAGCAATTCAAAATTAGTACGCAGTGATAACAAGTTTCGTGTCTTTTTTATAGGCATCCACTTCATCAAAAGTAACTAGTAGTAGCGAGTCTCACCATTCTGAAAAAAGCTGCAGCAATCAAACACCTACAAACAATTTTGAGAAAATTCTTGAATAACCAATAAAGGATTCTTCCGATGCTCAGCCAGAAAATCTTCTGAAGCGCAAGTACTCAACTCCAGTGCAGGACGTAACAAAACAAAAAATTCAAGCATTGCAAGGTCGATTGTCATCCTCTTTATTAGCGAGAGACATAGAGATAGATCTTGATAATGTGAAAGATTTGAAGAAAATCCGCAAAGAGCTTTCGAAACAGCAGCAGATACTTAAAAACAAAAAAAAACAACGCAAAACATCAGGCTAGCTATCGAAAAAAAATCAAAGAAAAACTTGCGAAAACTGGCTCTTTGTCTACTATTGGCGAGCGATCAGAGGCTGGACGTCCTCGTTTGGAAGAAACCCAGGAAGGTTTGCTTGATGCAATTAAAGCTGCAGCAATTTATGAAAGCGCAGCTCATGAACGTCGTTAAACAGACGAAATCAACTGTTGCAAAACATTAGATGAGTTGCAATCTAAAGTGCAGGAAGCAGAATTTACTATTTCAAGAAGTGCTCTTTATACTAGGCTTATACCGAAAAATTCTCGCACTGGGCAAGGGTCACGCCACGTAGTGACAGTTCCTGTTTGTCTCTCTATACCCAACAACGATTTACACAAGCAACATCCTGATGGTAAATTTTGCACTGCCACTTTAAAAAATTTGGAATCGCTTGCCTCGATATTGGGACCGATGCAATGTGCCTTTTTATCTCAGGATGACAAGGCACGCGTGCCGATTGGAATCACCGCTGCTAAGGAGCAACGGTCCCTTGTGATGCACGTTGATTATAGAGTTCAGCTTCCAGACCACGACTTTGTTGTTGGGGAAAGACATAAGCTTATACCGTCTGTCTACGCTGGCATTTGTATCAAGCTGAATGGCAAGGGTGATCCTAGTGATGTTACCTATAGCGGCCCAACATTCATTGCTATCCAAAGTAGAAAACACGCTCAGTCTACTGCAACGAATCATGCTCATGATTTCCTTACTCTACTTGCAGAGCNAAACTTTATAATTTATACTATTTGTAAAATCAACTATTTCCGGCTTTTCTAAATTTATTAAATCATCAAGATAAGACATAACTTGGTTGTTGATTAAATTACTTTCTTAAATCAATAAATATTCCAATATCTAAATTATATGAAACATTTCAAGATTCAACATTCTAATTGATTGACACATAATTTTTACCTTGATGAATAAATTAAATATCTAGGAAAAATCAAATAGACAACGTATGACAAAGACCTTTACAAGGACATGAGATAAAAATACGAATAAGATACGCTACTACCGTACGACATAAGACATAAACTCTAACAGTAGGTCAACGATAGCACAGCGGACGATTTCAAAGAAAAGTATACTGTAAGTAAAAGCAAATAAGGCGTTTGGGCCGACGGCTGGTTTCTGACGAACAAAAATTAAACTTATTTGTTCGTAGAACGAATCTACCAGTTCCGCCCTTCACTTATAGAAGTTTGGCAACACATCCGAAACCTTCATGAATTTTTTAAATAAGTAACATAGCCTCTTATGGAAAAGGCCATTCTGGAGGTTTTGATCATGTATGTAAGTATGTAAAAATGCTTTTCGACGTAATAAAAAAGTTTGTACCGAAAGTTCAAGTCGTAAGGAAGACACTCGTATCAAAAAATATCCACCTTACCAGGCATACGGAAGAAATATCTGAGCAAACGTAAACAAAATTACGAGCGGGTGCTATGCTAAGTGTAAGGGAGAGAACCGAGCATCGTCTGCTGCCAGCTGGTCTTTTTATACGGAGCAAGACGTCATTACAAAATTAGGTCTAGAATTTGTTTAACTTGAAATCATGATCTGGAACTTGGCACAGCCCTTCTCAAGACCTTAAACTGTAATGATGTGTAAAAAAAGTTTGTTTTTCAAAAATTTATAACACACTTTCGTTGACGAAAACTGAGTCTCCTCCTTTTTTTACGTTATTTTTTATCATGCAAACAACATGTTTTCCAGTTTTTTTATGAACTATCGGAAACTAGCTGCTGTAAAGTATGTACCGTAATTGTTTCATAACATATAATGGTTTAACCTTTAAGCACTGACGAGTTGAACACAACTAAATTAATCGTGATGCAATGGGCGGATGTTATTATGCAGGGTTAGTACAACTCGCTTTAACACGTTATCGGATGGGAGCCCCCGCATACCCACTCACCCCTCCCCGAAGAGTGACCGAACCTGGATTTCTTGGAACACCACAAAATACATTAATTGAATTTATTTAATTAGAGAAATTTTAATTCAGCTGAAGGTGCTTTTGGAGAAAGAATACAATAATTTTTGTTGTATTTTTATCTAAAATAAGTACTGAAAAGTTGATAAACGGATTAACGCATAAAATAATTATTCAACGAAATTACTACCAATAGTTGCTAAAGTACTCATCTAACTAGAGATTAACTCTAAAACTGGCTTCCAGATTAGTGTAGAACCTGACTTTCTATATGTCAAGGAGTATTTTTCATGAAGCTGGCGAGTTGGCAAGCTTAGCTCTGAGGGCGCTAGGATAAGAGTCTCCAACCAATGGGATTAGAGGATTTTAGAACAAATAGTATATCTTTGCGAGCATTGAACGAGCAGAAAAGAATGGGATTTGGCTGAAATGGACTCCTGATATCGATGTTTTCAAGAAGTTGGGAGAAAAAAAAAGTATATCTGTGCATGCAGCACCATGTTTCAAAGAGATATGAAAATATACTTTTTATTGTTAACCAGAGGCTCTTCTCTTCTCTCTAAAGCTCACTGAGCTGAGCTTGCCAACTCGCCGGGGGTCTAATTGAGTTCATCTATATACGGAATAGATTTACTGTCATAATATACCTTTGAACATCAAAAAGTTATTTTTCATCATACTGCGCCGAAAGTAGGAACTTTCGTCCCACTTCGCGGAACGAAAATCCCTTCTCTCGGCGCAGGATTGACGAAAAATCGTATACAACCCACGGGAGGAAACAAAGAATCCCTCAGATCGCATGCTTATCGCCCTCGGCTTCGCCTCGGGCGTCAATTGCCTGCGATCTGAGACATTCTTTATTTTTTCTCCCTAGGTGAGTAATATACTATTTCCGTTACTTTTTAGTCTTAATATTGGTGTTGTGACGGTAAATATCGAACGCAATTACGTGTGTCGAAGCGTTCAATCAAATCTCTGCCCCATGAAAAAGTATTTTCTATATTCTCTGCCCTAAGACTTGTGGGGTCAAGGAAAAAACCCTAGAACCATAATGAAAGAAATCCCATGAAAAATTCCACCCTGAAATAGCCGAGGTTCAGATAGCGAACTCTTTTCCGTTGAAAACACAATTTTTTGAAAAAAATCTACTTCCACTGGAAATCAAACCCTGAACCCCTAGAACGGTGTTGTATCAATAACAAGCATTATTCTTACCACTGAGCCAACACCGCTCCTACAAGTACCGTTTATTATTAATGTCGATTAGTTGAACGATTCAAATTTATTACGGACAGTAAAAAAATTATTTTAAAAACTCACCAGCGTTGATACAGATACATCATGAAAACAGCATCATCTCGAAAGCAAGCTACTCTGTGAGCAATGGGCATTGTGATGATAAATGCAAATACATCATCAATAAAAGTATTAAAGGCCTTGTACATAAATGACCTCCATGGAAGGTGAGCAACTGATTTCAATTTATAATTTACGAATAGTTGTGGTAACATAAACAGAAAACCGAAAGCATAAACTCCATGTACTATAGATTGTATGAACCATGAATACCAGCTAAAACGTTGAATACATTAATGCAAAAATTTATTTTTTATTAGTTACATTTAATTTACCTTTTATGCGGTAGGTAGAGCAGAGTATACACTGCACCCACAATGATTAAGGGATATATCAGGTAACTAAAGTATTTCATACTTTCAGCATCAATTTCTCTTGTCCTTTTTTCTGCAAACGTAAGTTTGCTGCAGTTAAACTTAATCCTTGGAATTACTCTTTTATTCCAAAAAATTTCGGCTTTCAAAAATTTTTTCGTTTTCCAAAACTATGAGCAGTAATTTAAATATTTAATTAATACATTTCTAAACTTCTTGTATTTATAAATGGTAGTTTTTGTCGCAAAAGTGCTATCATCTTCGGAACTATTTTGCGGCCCGAGGGTCCTATGAAGATTGATGGCGCTAGTGTACCAAACTCTGTTTTTCTTACTGAGGGCACACCCGACCTTCGAAAACGCTCAAGGTAGCAAAAAATACATTAAATTTACCTCAATTATGGCTCCGATCCCAGCAGGTACTAGAACAAGTAGAGATGATCCTTCTTCAACTAAATAGAGGAATATTACAGCTTGGCTAAAAGCACGCCAGAGCACTGTCTGCATACTCAAACCTGTGAGATCATTTTTATTCCGCCAGAAAAGTATGTCACTTTTAAATGCAAGAAAATCAAACAATAACTGTAAATGAAATAATATAAATTCTGACAGAAATAACTATTATACATTTTATGAAGCTATAAAAACAAATCATACATGCATTCCTGATACAACTATAGTACCAGCGAGTAGATACAAATTAGTATCTGCAAAAATACTTTTCACCTCGTCGGTATCCTTGTCAGTAAACCCAATTTTCTTGAGATCCATCATTGCAGCTTCAAGATGCAAGATTAACCGTAATTTACCATAAGAAATTGGATTATATGTTATAGTCATATTTAAATTATGCGATGTGGGTAAAATTTTGATTAAATCCTTATTTTTGGTATGCAAAAAATTACCAGTAAGCAAGGGCAAAAATGTTTTATCAGGAGTAGTTCTACAAAAAAAAAATTTCTCGAATTTAAAGAAACGTATGTTAACTCTGGACTACATAAAATGAGAAAATTTTAAATAAATTTACTTTAAAATCCTTAATAACTCTAATGGTATGTGATTCAATGGAAGTTCTATATCATCTGTCATTATAGTAAATGTTATTTTACTTTTCAAGTGTGAAATTGGCTGATTAGCAACTATCTCTCTCTTTTTTGAACTTTTAGAACTTTCTTCTTTACCTACTAAATTAAATGTCTCTGCTTCTGGTATGGCATACTTGGTCAATTTTACAACAGCAAATACAGTGTTAGAATTCTTGAAAACAAAAATTATGACAATGATCACATTACAGAATATCAATTGTAACAATGTAATGAAGTATTACTCGTTTAAGTTCATGGAAAGTGTTGCCTTGGTTCACTAAAGAGGGTGATAATAGTATATGTAAAAATAAAGTACCATTTTGTCTAGTCTTGTATGGAATGTCTAATAATAAAAAACTGAAAAAAAAAGATATTTTGAATAAACACGATTCAGATTAGATCCGTACAAATTATTTTGAATAATACATACATTCATAGTAGCATGTAGCATACTGATACATAAATTTACTTACAAATCTTTTTCTCTTGTGTAATCGAAGTCCATATCAGTGTAAACTTTTTGGGCTTCTGAATTCAACGGATTTATCATCGTGGAAGTAAACAAGTTTAATTGTATTTTGGGTCGTTTATTTAGATGAGATTTAATGCAATTTTTTCTGTTTGTACATGTTGGTACAGAAAACATGTGTGATATCGTGTAAAAAGAGTGAGCAATATAGCCCAGGAACAATCCAGACAATAAAATAGTGAAGGATGGAAAAAACATTTTTTGGTAAGGTTATATATCTTTTCCGGAACTCAAATCAGTATACAAATGAATTGTTTGTAGCACTATATGTCAGGTACAAGATATCCCTAAAGGCCGACGCAGTGGAAAACAAGCATATACACGGGCACAGTGCACAAGAATAACATATCCCGAAGAGAAACGAAAGTCGGTTGCCTCTCTATTGGGATTCTGAAAGGTCACGTGACTCTCGCAATATATATAGTCACTTGGGGGAAAAATAACACAGGCCTTGCAAGTGCAATTATATTTTTATTTTTTTTACACGTTCAACGATTGCAATACGATAAAAGCCGTTCATAAACATATTTTGGAGGAGATGACAATACCTTAACTATTTTTTTTCCAACTCAATTAGTCTTTTACAGCTTGAAACTTTCCTTTAAAAGTGCGGAAACGAACATTTAACCTGTACAAAGTTCTCCCGTTCTCGACTATGTATAGGAAAACAAGCTGGATTTTGGTAAGGTTAAATGTGCGATTTCGCACTTTTAAAGGAAAGTTTTAAGCTGCAAAAGACTAATTGCGTTGGGAAAAAATCGCTAAGGTAATGTCATCTCCTCGAAAACATGTTATTGAAAGGCTTTTATCTTAATACTATCGTTGAACATGTAAAAAAAATAAAAATAGAATTACACCCATTAGGCCTGTGTTATTTTTCCGTCAAGTGACTATATATACCGCGAGTCACGTGACCCTTTGGAATCCCATATTAAGGCCCTACTTAGGCTGCAGTCATATGCTCACATGGAGCGCAATGGAGCGAACAAGTAGAATTATCCCCTTAAAGTGGCTCCAGCGCCTAGTGCCGTATCAAAATGGGGAGACTAAAAATTAATCATTTTTTTCTTTAAAATATGGTATAAAATTATTGTAGAAACTGTTGTAAGCCATATTCTACATTTTATCTGTTAATTTAGTGAGTTAATATAAAAAACGAAAAAGTTTTATGGTGCCTTAATTGATGAACTCTTACGGTACGCTCCAAAGTTGAAGAGTAGTTATACCTATATATATGTACTCAGCAGAATGCAGACAGCTGACAGCTGACTTGCACTCGCAACTGTATACTTAGTCTCCGATTATTTAAAGATTTTGTTCGATAACAAGAAACTATTCTCATGTCATCGAAAACTGCGTAATAATATATACAAGATAGTATGTTTTTTACACCTTACGGGTTATTTATATAAGTGCAGCAGTAGGTTGTATATCGTGTAAGATTGCATTTCCTATCTAACCCATCTTAAAACTACGATTTTGTAAGCATGATTTCTTACAATTTTCATCGTCAACCTTAATTTTTTTTTTATACGAATAGAAAGATGGGAATTCAAAGAATATAATTCAATTTAATTAACCTCGGTTGGATTATTTATAATTTTAACATTGAGGCCACTGCACGGAGAGATCTCTGGTACTAGGGTAGTATGTATAGCCGTGTGCAACAGTAGTATAGTGATTCGTATACGACTGTAGCGCCTGCGCGCCACAACGAAAATATATGGCTTCTGCTACCGTAGTATACAGGCCTCCGTGCAACTGTAGTGCGTGAACTATACTATCGTTGCTTCTGCCTTATACTACAGTTGCAACGCTGATATACTGAATTGGTATATTACCCCGCTTACCAACTTTGCTCGGGAGCCATACCAAATCGGTATTGACCCCAAGCAAATGTGCACACACACATAAGTGTATATATATGTATATGTACGTCGTTTGATGCGGCGGCGGTGGTGGCGGCGGCGGCGCTGCACTATACATATATATCTATAACCTCGTGTTTGCCGCTCGTTGGAATGTAAATACATATAATATTGTATATGACCTTGTGTTTGCCGCTCGTTGGAATGTATATATATATACGCAATAAACAATATAATATTTTCTCGAGCTTCATACAGTATAGCATACCACTATGCACCGGGTGGGATCTAATAAACGCATATATATGCGCTACTGAAAATAATGTATACAATAGGTAATTTTATCCAAAATGAAATAGTAATTAACTACACATACATCGTTTTCAACAGCTCTAGGCGTTCTAAAACAGCCCTCAATAGTAGATTGCAAAAATAAGGTTCATGCTGATAGCCTCTGTTTTGCAAAAAAGGACTCGTATTGTATTAGGAAAATAAATAAAAGATAATTATAATGAAAAACACGTATTTTAATAATAAATCATTTGAAAATTATTTTCATTTACAAACGGCAACCTATATATTTTAACTATTTATTTTTGTCAATTGCAACAAAATTTATCTCGTACAAATAGCAGTACGTATTTTGCAATCATTTGTAGAAAAATATATATACATATATATGTATGTATAGTGCAGCGCCGCCGCCGCCACCGCCGCCGCCGCATCAAACGACGTACATATACATATACATACACTTATGTGTGTGTGTGTGTGTGTGCACATTTGCTTGGGGTCAATACCGATTTGGTATGGCTCCCGAGCAAAGTTGGTAAGCAGGGTAATATACCAATTCAGTATATCAGCGTTGCAACTGTAAAATAAGGCAGAAGCAACGGTAGTATAGTTCACGCACTACAGTTGCACGGAGGCCTGTATACTACGGTAGAAGAAGCCATATACTTCCGTTGTGGCGCGCGGGCGCTACAGTCGTATACGACGCACTATACTACTGTTGCACACGGCTATACATACTACCGTAGTACCAGAGATCTCTCCGTGTAGCCACACATTCGATATACCTCTTCTACGTCTCTCCAAAATGTGCGCCTGTAAGATTATTTCCACGCGAATCCACTCCTCTTCTCTTAGGCGCACGCTGTTCGAATACAGTTTGATCCGAGTAGTAAGATGTATGCCCGGTTCGATGGCTGGCCGCGGCAGGGCGCTCCGATCAGTGCCAAAAAGTCGTCTCGCATCACAACATTGCAGCGTTGGGTTAGGCGGATTCGATATCGAGACTTTTTTCCTAGATCGTAAATGTAGCTATACGATCAAGGGAGAATGTTCCGTCGAGCAGACAGCACAGCAGTGAAGGGGCATTGTCAAAGGCACTAAAAATTTTAATATTATAACACGAGTGCCTATCACCCGATGACCCGGGGTGCTAACTGGCCACTCTGTTAAATCATAAAATACTAGTTATTAACACAAACACCTATCACCTAGTGACTCGGGGCGCTTACTGGCCTCTCTATTAAATAATAAAGTGTTAATTAATAACCCGAGCGCCTATCACTAAGTGACTCGTGGCGCTAACTGGCCACTCTATTAAATAATAAAGTATTAATTAATAACACATAAGCACCTATCACCCAATGACCCGGAGCGCTAACTGGCTAAACTATGATATGATAAAATATTAATTATTAACACAAGCGCCTATCACCCGATGGACTGGGGCGCTCACCGGTCGGTTTATTAAACGATATATATTATTGATTAATAACACAAGCGCCTGTCACTCAACGACCCAGGGTGCTTACTTGCCACTGTATAAGTTAATAAAAGGTTAATTGATAACCCCAGCGCCTATCACACAATAGTCCAGGGTGCTAACTGGCCTTTCTATTAAATAATAAAATATTATTCAACAGCACAAGCACCTTTCACCTGATGACCGTTGTGCTATTAATTAATAATATGTATCGTTTGATAAAGTGACCAGTAAGCGCCCCGGGTCATTAGGTGATAGGCGATTGTGCTATTAATTAATATTATATATCGTTTAATAAAGCGAACAGTAAGTGCCCCAGGTTCTCGGGTGATAGGCGCTTGTGTTAATAATTAATACTTTATTATTTACCAGAGTGGCCAGTAAGAACCCCGGGTCATAGGGTGATAGGCGCTTGTGTTAATAATTAATTCTTTATTATTTAATAGAGTTGCCAGTAAGCACCCCGGGTCATCGGGTGATAGTAGCTTCGCCGAACGTGCTAGCTCGCCAGCGAAAGTAGTCGGTGCTTGAAGCCAGAGAGGGACCTATCTGAAAAAGAAAGACGGAATTCCATGTGTAAATACTTCTGTAATACCTTCAGGAAAGCCATGTGGTATTACATATGGTTTTACGTATGGCATTACATAAGGGGTTTTAGCCTGGTAATGCCATATATAATTCCATTTGAAAATTCACATAGAATTACAAATTGGAAGAAGGAAAAAAATTTTGTCATCTAGAAATAACTGCAGAATACTGTAATGCGTCATTTACTGAGAACAAATAGTGTTACCATCTGGATGATAACTCGAAAACAAGGGGATTTAAGTTATATTTCAGGAATAAAAAAAAATTGAAAAATTAGATTTTTTTATATAGAACTAAAATCAGCTAAACCCTTAGAGAATATATACATGGAGGAAGCATTGTATGATCCGACCGCGAGACGATATGAGANGCTATTAATTAATACTTTATTATTTAATAAAGCGACCAGTTATTACCCCGTGTCATTGAGTGATAGGCACTTGTTTCATTAATATTACAATTTTTAATTTTTGCGCGTCGTTGGCAATGCCCCTTCACTGCTGTACTATCTGCTAGTTACTCGACGGAACATTCTCTCTAGATCGTATAGCTATATATACAATCTAGGGAAAAAGTTCCGATATCGAATCCACCTAACCCAACGCTGGTTTGCCCCCCCCCCCATGTTCTTCCGTCGGCCCACCTTTAGAACTTTGGCCTGAAACTGAATTCGGACCTCCAGTCCGCTGAACTAGAATTTCTGATCGGGAAGCTTTAGGGAGTAAGGTAAGGAGACAATGTCTGCCATTTAAGTCTCATGGGGAAAGGCGTGAGCTTGAAAATGAATACGCATCATTTAGCACACACACACACACACACACACATGGTTACATATATATTTATAAATATGGATACATACATAAGTATATGACTGAAGTCCCCTTAACCCTCACGTGGCGGTCGACCAATCCTGAGCGGGCCCAAGATTGTCTGCTAACACCCTCTAAGCTCACTTGCTTCCGATACAGTGGGTCGAGGGACAGACAACGACAGTGCGGCGGATAGCCGCCATTTATAGCTCATGTCAGTTGCGGTCAATTTGAAATGGTAATTATTTCATATCCTTAGAGAATATATACAATATGTATATGTATATGTATATATGTACATATGAGAACAAATACATATCTACATATACATATACATATTGTATATATTCTCTAAGTTCATATCACACAACTCTACAATGTGATTCTACAATTGCACTTTCGCTGTACCGCGCAAGTGCGTGGGGGCAGCGCAATTATAGAAGAGCCCTAAAGGCACAGAACTGTTAATCTATATACACTGGAAAATAGTGGGAGGTGCTGAAAATCGCGGAACCAACCAGCACTATGAGACCCTATCCGCCGCACTGTCCCTCGACCTCGACCCACTGTAGCAGAGATTAGTAGAGAGATTGCTGACTGCAATGCTACGGCGCGAGTTCACTTTTGGCCACTGTTTCGAGCGCCCCGTCGCGGCCAAGCGGTCGAACCAGGCACACATATTTTTTTTTTTATTTGAGAAGCGTGGAGGGGGTATACCGAGTGTGTGCCTACAGATTCGCGTGGAAATGGGCATGTAGGCACATACTTCGGAGACGCGTGGAAGGGGTATACTGAATATGTGCCTACGGAGAGAGGAGTGGTGTGCATGGAAATGCCGACTACAGCTATATAACTATATATACCCGCGTATATCATAGCGAAAGAAAGCAACGAGTCTTTCTCGCTATATACTTATACTTACTAACTTCTTAAATAAGGTCTTAGAAATTAAGGGGAAATAGAGAAGAAAAAAAGATTTCACATCTAATATTTGTAAAATAAAAAAACCTATTTTAATTTACAATTCTCTATAACATATGAAAGTTTAAGAGAGGCTAGCCATATTATTTTTCGAAAATTAAATCATACAAATAAATGTTTACGCAATTGGAACCTCAGACTTTCAAGGCATTTATTTTTTAGTTCTTCTTATACTTTGGATTTTCGTTTAGTACTGCGTATCAAAGTACGTTGAAAAAATATTTAGCT